GACAGACTTGAAAGCAAAACAAATGTGGCAATATTTTCAAGGGACCCAATAAGTTAGATGTGAGAAGATTACATTGTGCTACGTACATCACTGTATTAAAGACTGTAAATCTGACACAAGTGAAAAATTAAAAAATAAAAGTAAGAAAAAGTTAGCTCAACCACTTCACAACTCCTATCTGGCTATACCCCAACCCAACTGAATCAAAATTTCTAGGGGTGGGATCCAGCCATCAGAGTTTTGTAAAGCTCCCTAAGGGATTTCAAAGTAGAGGCAAGGTTGAGAACCAAGTTCCTTTGGGAGTTTAGATGCTAATTTTAGCACCTAAACAAAGTCTCTAAAAAGATCCCAAGTAAGTATTTTAGTGTACTTTAAAAGATCAACTTCTGAGTTAGGGTAGTGATGATATACCAACCTCTCATCATGGGAAATATAGCATCCTAAACCTTGAGAGTTAAAAAAAATAATAATAATAATTAAAAAGATGAACCCCACACAGTTATAAATTTCCCAGACTGCAAACAATTCTCATTTAAAATATAAACAATAAGCCCTGGCCGGTCTTGCTCAGTGGTTAGAGCGTCGGCCTGTGGTCCAGAGAGATCCGGGTTTGGTTCCCGCTAAGGGCACGTACCTCGGTTGCAGTTTGTCCCTGGCCCTGGTTGGTCATGCGGGTGGCAGCCACTTGATGTGTCCCTTTCACATGGATCTCTCTCTCTCTCTCTCTCTCTGTCTCTCTCTTTCTTCCTCTCCCTTCCTCCCACTCTATCTGAACAAAAAATAAAATATAAACAATAAAGTATAGTTTTTTAGCTTAAAGGCATTTACGATTCTCACCAAACTGAAACTAAGATGCAATAAATAGACATCGTTACAATTAGCCTCTGGTAGCTTTCTATCTTACCAATGGTATGATTTGCAGTAGCAAATAATCAAGACAAATTATAAGATTCTGAGTACCTAATATCCTAGTTTTATATAGGAAGGCACTACCCTCATTTTTATCCACTCTCATGGTTAAAATAAATTTTCCTGGATGCCAATCACACCACGTAATAGTGTCAAAGTGACACAACCCAAAATACCTTGTTCCTGAGAAAAAGAAATTCAGCTACATTCCCATCACCAAAATTACACATTTTAGAATGAGCAAAAAAATTCAAAAATTCTAAATATGACCCATTATCAAACATGTTTTAGAATATGATGATGCAAATGATGTAATACTGAAAGTCACGCAAGTGAATATTTAGACTTTTTTGTCAACTGTTTTAATTTCTCTTTTTAAAGCAATAGAATTTTCAACTATTGAGCAAAAAGCCCAAAATTTAATAATTTAACAAAACTGAATTAAATTCTGTTATGCTAACCTAAGTCCTTCTTTCATTTAGTGTAGAAAATAATGAAATTGCTAAAACTGATTCCTTTTATACATGATTAAACACTATCTGAGAGTCACCTTTAATCATCACTTAAAGTAACAAAACTCTGCTTAACCACACAGTCTTTCTAGGGAAAAAAAAGGAAAAGGAAATCCAACATGTACAATGAGCACTGAAAGGCTAACATAAGATGCTTAAAAAACCTTTCACTCTAAAATCACAGCATGAAAAATGAAAAAAGTTAGTAATGAGCTGGAGAGAATGAAATAGAAATGAAATAAGTTTAAACATAAGAAAAATAATGTATGTTCTTACCAAAAGAGGCAAAATTTTAGGCAAGATTAAATACACATTTTAGCCCTGGCCAGGTAGCTCTATTGGTTGAGGTGCTATCTTGATATGCTAAGGTTGCAGGTTAGATCTCCAGTTGGGGCACATACAAGAGGCAACCAACAAATGCATGAATAGATAGAACAACAAATTGATATTTCTCTCTCTTCTTCTTTCTCTCTCCCTCCCTCCCTTTCTCTAAAATCAATAAATAAAAAATTTAAATAAATAAATATACATTTTAAATATAATGAACAAAGCGGATCCTGCAGGGTTAACTGCCCTAGTAGAAGCCTCAGCAATTCACAGCTCAATTAGAATAGTGTCTAATGATGTTACTACACCACCAGCTCATTCAGGGAAAAAAAAACACACAACAATTTCCAAGCCAGAGAGCTGGAGTGTGACTGGTGTGACTGGGCAGCATAAATTAGTTTTATACTTGCTCTTTAATTGGAAGGTGGGGGCAGGGGAGTGGGAATCTGAAGGGAAATGCAGGAAAAAGAATTCACACACAATTTGGAGATAAAACTCAACTACAATGCAGTTTAAGAAAGTGAAGTATAGCTCTGGCCAGTGTGGCTTGGTTGAGTGTCCTCCCATGCACCAAAATGTTGCTAGTTCAATTCTTGGTCAGGGCACATGCCCAGGCTGCAAGCTCAATCCTTGGTGCGGGAATGCAGGAGGCAGCCTATGGATGCTTTGCTCTGAAATCAATGTTTCTCTCTCTCCTTCTCCCTTCCTCTCCCTCTAAAAATCAGTAAGTGTGTGTGTGTGTGTGTGTGTATTTTTTTTATCCTCACCCAAGGACATTTTTCCATTTTTTGTCCAGGTACAGTGGGAGGGAGAGAGAGAAACAGAGAGAGAGAGAGAAACATCGATGGGAAAGGAGCACATCGAGTGGCCGCCACCCACACGACTGACCAGAGCCGGGGACAAACTGCAACCGAGGTACACGCCCCCAGCGGGAACCGAACCCGGGTCTCTCAGGACCGCAGGCCAATGCTCCAACCACTGAGCCAAACCAGCCAGGGCAGTAAGTATATTTTTTAAAAAAGAAAGTGATAGTGAAGTATAGGTTTTTACAAAGATCTGCTGCTTTCTAGTATAAGCAGAATTCCTTCAAGCAGCAGAGCCATTTGGTCAATGATCCATATAAAACTTATTCTGAAAAATTTCAAAGTGACTTTCTCAGTACAAATTTTCATTGAACTCGAAACCAATTTAAAGTTTTTTTCTAAGCTCAAGATTAAAATGAAGTCATTTAGGCATTTAGCTGAACACTTAAGTTTTAACTTAGGCACCCCCATTTCAAACATAAAACAAGATGCAATACCTCTTTAAAGCAACCTTCCCAAAAACCTGGAATGCAAAGAAAGCCACTTCTATTAATAGACTCACAAATGACATATCAATTTTGTCTAGAAAGCTTTTAGTTTTAACTCCAACAACTTAAACCTACATAATTCATCACCACTTTTAAACCTAAATATACTCCAAATCTTAAATGCTTGGCCAGCTTGTATTATTACATTTGTTCTGTAATAAACCCAATTAAGAAAACAAATATCATGACATTATCAAAGGAACAATAAGAAATAATTTGTTTTGTTTTTATATATACTTTTAAATCCTCACCAAAGGGTACTTTTCTTTCCATTTTTATTTTCAGATAGAGTGGGAGGGAGGGAGAGAGAGAAACATCGATGGGAGAGAGACACATCAACTGGTTGCCTCCCACAGGACCCCACCAGGGCAGGGGACTAACCGCAACCAAGGTACCTGCCCTTGACCAGAATCTAACCCGGGACTCTTTGGTCCCCAGGCCCACGCTCTACTGCTGTGCCAAACCGCCGGCCAGGGCAGAAATCATATTTTAAAATGTTAACTATATCAATCATTTACAACTTGAAATGTCACGTTCTAACTTTCCAAAAGAGAAACTAAATCCTTAGCAGGAAAGTTACACACTAGAATTTCATATGCTACATTTCAAATGAAATACATTTAGTCTCAGTACAACACAGCAAAGGTAATTTCTAAAATCCACAATAGAAAGTATTCAAATGTACTCTTCCAAATAATATTACTTTGTGAAAGTACGTATTTCTGAAATTATGTGTTTTCTATTAAGGCTAAATGGTTTCTTCCAGCAAAAAGTACTCAGCCTACTTTTTAAACACCAGAATAACCAAACTGCTACTGGAACTAAAAGGATGCTAACTCTGTCAAAAGTCAAAGGTTGTTAAACAAAAATTAGCCAAGACTACCTGCCTTTAGAAAATCAAAGTAATTAAAATGATTCCACCTTATCTTATATTTATTATTCCTAAATAATAGGCAGTTTCACCTTAAACTATGGTGCAAAAACTAAAGCCACTAAGAAATTGAATTCAAAATAAATTAATAAGAAACAAATATATGCACTTTAAAAATTCACTAGGGTTCTCAGGGGGAAAATAGCTATCACTCTTCAAGAGGGTTTTTTTAAAACCTCTCTATACCTGCAAAGAAACCTTTCAAGTTAACTAAACACACCCATTTCTTTGAAAATCTAGGTTGGGGTAAGTGATGGAGGAGCCACCGCCCTCCATCCTACACCAATTTCACACCCAGTACTTGTAGCCCTAACAATAAGATAAACTATATCTTTTTTCTTTAATTAGAGGCTGGGCGGGGGTGGGGTGGGGTGGGGGGGTCAGTTAGGTGCTAAGATTATTGTAGATGATGGCGGCATGCAGTAAACACTCCAAAAGTAAGTCAACAAATCACAGCCAGAACGTAAATTAGAATGACACAACCAGGAAGAAAATAAGGGACAAAGAGAAAACAAAAATCTGCTCGAGCAAAGAAATGAAGACGGGCCATTTCTAACTTGCATCGAGCCACCCAAGGCAATCAATCCACCACTGCGACTCAACGCGCTCGCCACAGCGGACAGAGCAACTCCTCAAGAACAACAAAGAGGAGCGGCGGCTGCAGCCGGAGTCCCCCTCCGACTTTCACTTGATTCTGCGACAAACTGCGAAGGAAGCTCGGGACCGGCGGGCCGACCCCGGAGCCCAGGGACGCGAGGCACCGCAGCCCGGCCCAGCCAGACCCGCCGAGGAGACCCTGGCCCGGCCCGTCAAGCGACCAAGCTCACTCACTCCGCGCGGACCGCCGGCTCCCGCGCGCTCCCCGCCGCCGCCGCTGCCGCCGCCGGGAGCCCGCCCCGGGGCGGGGGAGCCGCGGGAGGGGTGCGCGGGCCCGGCCGGGGGAAGAAGGGGAGGGGACATGGCGTGTTACCTGGGCTCGGACGATGGCGAGGGGAGTTCGCTCTCCCGCCGGAGCCAGTCCGCGAGGGGACCGGGCCCGGAGCGCTCCTCGGCCCCCGCCCGAAGCGTCCGGGCCGGGCCGCCCCGCCTCGGCGCTGCGCTGCTGCCCGCGCGGACCGGGCCGCCTCGAGCTCCCGGGCCGCCCCGCCGCGGGGGAGCCTCTCTCGCGGGGCGTCCGGCTCCCCTCACCCGCTCCCGTCCCCTGGGCGGCCACGGAGCCGAGGGGAGGGCGGGAAGGGCTTCTTGAGGAGAGCGGGCGGGCGCGAACGCGGGCTCCGCCACCCGAGCCGCTCCGTTACCGCAGCGGCGACGACGACCAGGGCCGAGGTGTTGCTGCCAACTTGTCGAGAGGACACTGAGCATGCGCGCGCGGAGACCACATCCGGGTAATTTCAGGGTTTGGCCCTTTCCTCCCCCCCGCAGCTTTCCTTTCTCCCGGCTGCCCCCGCCTCCCGCCCGGAGTGACGGGAGGGTCGCTCTGCGCAGGCGCCCGTGGCGAAGCACCAGTCCGCGGGCTGCGCAGAGTCCTGGCCTGGGATCCGGCCCTGGAGGGAACGATCACGAGAGAAACTGGCATCCCTTTGCAAAAAGTACCCGAGCAGCAGGGGACAGCGCGGCGTATAGTGGGCGTCCAGTACGTGCTTATAAATAGCGATCGGCGGGGCTTTGTTTTTGAAGACCTCTGTGCGCACAAAAATTAGACTTTAACAGCTAGCGGTTTACTATGGGGAAAAAAACAAACAAACTCGTGATGACTGCACCTTCCCTTTCCACCAGCCCTGGATCACTAGATTCTAAGGTGTTTAAATTCGCAAGACTGCCCCTTGCACAAGATAGTCAAGGAATCACACACGAGAGACTGGCCAAGTGTTTGTAAAAGTTAGTGGTTATTGTTGGAAGAGATTTAGAAGGAATGCCAGAGAAGGGACCTTTGAGGACCTACAACATACCTGTTAACTAGGTGCCTGTTGGGTAGGGAAAGGCCTAAACTCTGTTTTTGATTTTATACTTGTTAACTTGAAATTTTTATAAGCAGCATGAATTTCTTTTATATTTAAGACGTTTCATTAAATACATACTGTGTGTGTGTGTGTGTGTGTGTGTGTGTGTGTGTATTTCCCCCCACCCCTCATCAACCAGGAAATACTTAAGTTGGGGATCCCACCAAGACTAATTAGAAGGTTCTGAAGTTATCTAGTAAGTCATATGGCCCAGAAACTCTAGTCCCCCTCCTACTTTTCACACCGTGCTCCACCCTCTAGCCCCATGTTGTCCTTGGCATCTTAGCCATAGCCCCTCTTCTACCAGAAAGCCTCTAAAACTGTCCTCTTTACTGGTGTTCCCTTACCCCTTGGGTTCGTGAAATCTTTCTAAGACTAGTTTTGTACAGATAGAGTGGGAGGGAGAGAGAGAGAGAAACATCGACGTGAAGGGACACATCGAGTGGCTGCCACCCGCACGACCAACCAGGGCCGGGGACAAACTGCAACCGAAGTACGTGCCTTTAGCGGGAACCGAACCCGGGTCTCTCCAGATCGCAGGCCGACGCTCTAACCGCTGAGCCAAACTGGCCAGGGCTCTAAGACTAGTTTTAAGGGAATTCATTTCCAGATTTTCCTGTTATCTGTACTATTTTCTAAAATTTCTCAGCTTCAGAAAGCACCAGAAGACATTCCATCCCCTTTCAAAACTGTCTTTCTCCCACCTTAGAAAAAAGTAAAATTCTCACCCATTTCTAAGGTGCATTGACTCAGCATGTAAAGACCTCCAGGGTAATTCAAAGGGACAATTCAGAAGTTGGTGTCGGCTGAGAAAGTAAACTACCCAAATTAATAGGTTATAAATTATTTTGCAAGTCAGGTGGTTTTCACTTCTTTGCTATCAACAAAATTGAAGGAAGATCTAGCTAGATGATTTGATGATTGATCAACATGTGATTCTTAGACAATAAACCTCAGTTGGGGTTAAAAGAATGGAATAATATTGATATAACTAAACTTCTTCCATTCCCATGTGTATTAGTTAATCTGTTCCTGTATAGCAATGTTACCACAGCAGCTTTAAACAACACCAATTCATTGGCTCAGTTTCTGTGCATCAGGAGACCACAAGTGGCTTAGGTGGGTCCTCTGCAAGATCACAAAGGGATGCTTGACTGGGAAAGGATCCACTTCCAAGCTCACGTGGTTGTTGGCAGCATTCAGTTCCCTACAGGCTGCAGGACCTCAGACCTCAATCTCTAGCTGGCTGTTGGCTCCCTCAGTTCTGTGACATGTGATCCTCTCCATAGGGAAGCTTACAGTATGGCAACTGGCTTCTTCAAAGCCAGCAAGGGGGAGAGTCTCAGTGTAAGCATTGGTTACAGCCTTATGTAACATAATCATATAACATGTGATCAGACATATCCTGACACCTTTGCCATACTCTATTGGCCAGAGCAAAAAACAAGTCCCACATATCTACTCAAGGAAAAGTACACAAGGCATGAACACCAGGAGGTGGGAATCATAAGGGGCCACCACACCTATTTATTTATGCAAATGACAATCCCTATGAGCTTCACCTCAAAATTTTTCTTCAGGCTCCCTTCACCTACTTGCTAAAGGAAATCCAGCTTACCCCGGGGACACTGCTTCTTCTTCCTCTCAAGTAGTGGCAACTGTATTTTCAACCATAAGCCCCTTAGACTGTGCCTGGAGGTGAGGGAGGTGTCCTCCTTGCTCCTTAACATTGCTTCTAGACTGTTCTCTCTCTCTTCCTTATTAACCTGCAACTTTAAATCTTGTTATCCAGTACTCCTCATCTTATTCTCATTCCCCTTCATTTTTTTCTCTCCAGTGCCACTTCTCTCTTAATCTTAGGTAGTTATAATATATACTTAAGATAGTTTTCTCATACCCTGACCTCTCAGTTCCTTTAATTCTCCTCCAAGGATCTTGTCCTATCCTAACTCAGCCACTTGCTTCCATGGGCATAATCACAGAAACCTTATCAAATTCTGCAACTTCTTCATAGTCACAATTTCAAACATGTCACACTCTGAACCACTTCCTATTTCCATATTTCCGTATAGCACTCTAACTCCAACAATTCAACCCACATATCCACTTTCTCTCATCCTTACCATGGCCAATTATTACAATCATTTGCTTGCACATACTCTCTTCCCTCTTTGTTCTGCTTTCTGGGCAAAACCACTGTCCTGATTCAAGCCAGCTCTCCACTTACTCCACGCCAGCACCCATGCACCTGAATGTGGCTAGAGGAAAACACAATCACACTGACTAGTTTCACTTTCATTGCATCACTGGGAACAACAAGTAGGCCCTTAGTGCTGCCCATGAATCCTACTTCCCTCCTCCATTCTTCTGGATTTCATACCTTTTCGGTTCTCTAACCTACACCTCTTTTCCCCCATCCTCATTCTCAGTTAATAATCTTGCTTCCTAGTTCACTGAGAAAATTGAAGCAATGAGATGAAAACTTCCAAAGTATCCCATTTCCCCATCTACCTGTAGCCACAGACCAGCATCTACAACTTCTTCACCTTTCTCTCCAGTATAGGGTCAATGTTCCATGATCCTAGCTAAAGCCAGTCCTTCTGCTAAAGCAATGGATCCTAAGCTTGCTGCCTAATCAAGATCATCACTTTCGCTCCAGCAATTATACCCCTTCCTCTATGTTATCGGAGTTCCCTTCTCTACTGGGTCACTCCCATAAGCTTACAAGTAGCTATTTCTCCAATCTTACAAAATCTTCTCTTTGACCCACTTCCACTGTCAGTTACTGCTCAATTTCTCTGCTTCCTTTGCAACAAAACTTCTAAAAGAGTTGTCTATACTTTCTCTACTTCTCCTCCCATTTGTAGCAGCAGAGTACATGCCATATGACATTTATATACAGTTTATAAACATGCCAAATACAGTAAGACTACATACACATATAATCAAGTCATAACAACACACAAGGTTACATGTGGCATATTTTAGGTTTTTGAGCTGAGAGGTTCTCCCACCCTCTCTTAAGCCCATTTTATTTATGCTTTCATCCTTAGCACTCCATCAAAACTACTCTTATCAAGGTCAACAATGAACTTCACATTGCCTACATCCAATGATTTAATCTCAGTTCTCCTCTTAACTGACCTGTCTTGGTCTTTCTCTGGTCCTTCCCTTTCTGTCTCGTTCCTCCCCTGTTGATTCCATCTCTTCTTCCACCTCTTAATCTTATAATGGCCCAGAGCTTGTTCCTTGGATTTCTTCTCTCTTCTATGTATACTACTTTCACTGGTGATCTCATCAAGTCTCCTGACTTTCAATAACATCTAAGATCTATGATATCACCATGTATGATGACAACTCCCTAATTCGTATCCTCAGCTCACACCTTTCCTCTGAACTCCAGATTCTGATACCCAGCAGTCCACTGCACATCTCAAACGTAACATGCCACAAGCTGAACAATATCCTTCCTCAAATCTGTTCAACCTCCCAACTTTCCTATCTCAGTTGAATATAAGTCCATTCTTCAGGTTGTTCAACCCAAAACCCTGGAGTCATGCTGGACTTCCCTCTTTCTTTTACATCTCATGTCTAGTCCAGAGTTAGAGTATCCCTCACCACCTAACCCCTGGTCTGAGCCACCATCATCTCTTGCTTGGATGAGTCTTCTAAAAGCTCTCCCAGCCCTCAGTCTTGCTCCTTAGAGTCTATTCTCAACATAATAGTCAGGGCGACCCTCCTAAAACATGTCAGATTGAGACAGGTTAGTAAGCCTGGACAAGTGGAATAGGGAAACTGAAACAGATAGTTAAATGGCCAAGCAGTTTACAGCCAGCTAGTAAATTGCAGAATTCTATATTCCCTAACCAAGGACACTTACAGAGTAAATGGTTAACACTTCTCCCCAACCAGAGGGTAAATAGCTTATCACCTACTCAGGGAGATAACAAATCCAATTGGTGCCATTTGTGCCAACCACACTGAAGGATGGATGAAGTCAGGGCAATAAATTTCATTTTGGTGCATCAGCATAAAGGTGATGAATATTTTATTGAGATCCTCCCCTAAGA